AAATTTTCAATTATTTTCTAGAAATTCGTTTTTTCCAAGATTATCGTATTTTCCGAATTTTACAATCTATTTTTTCCATATTTCTATTTTTTAAAATTTTCGAATTCGATGTTTTACATACACACATTTTTCTAAAATTTCGTAATTGTTTAATATAATCGATTTTATTGTAAATCGTATTTTTCATATTGATCTTATTCCAAATTAGTCATACCTGATTTTTGGACTTTTATTATTGTAGTAATATAAAATGCCCTATACTTGAAAATTATTTTCTACTTTTTAGTTCGATTTGCTATTATAGCGTATTTTTTAGTCATTTCAAACTATAATGTATTTGCTGAATTTTTAGTCACAAAACGACAACAAAAGTGCTTATCAAAAGCTTCGATTTTTAGTGTATTTTACAAACTCCGAGATTTACAAAAACTGTTCAGGTATTTCCAAAAATTTTAAATTTTCAATTATCTTCTAGAAATTCGTTTTTTCCAAGATTATCGTATTTTCCGAATTTTACAATCTATTTTTTCCATATTTCTATTTTTTAAAATTTTCGAATTCGATGTTTTACATACACACATTTTTCTAAAATTTCGTAATTGTTTAATATAATCGATTTTATTGTAAATCGTATTTTTCATATTGATCTTATTCCAAATTAGTCATACCTGATTTTTGGACTTTTATTATTGTAGTAATACAAAATGCCCTATACTTGAAAATTATTTTCTACTTTTTAGTTCGATTTGCTATTATAGCGTATTTTTTAGTCATTTCAAACTATAATGTATTTCCTGAATTTTTAGTTACAAAACGACAACAAAAGTGCTTATCAAAAGCTTCGATTTTTAGTGTATTTTACAAACTTCGAGATTTACAAAAACTGTTCAGGTTTTTCCAAAATTTGAAATTTTCAATTATTTTCTAGAAATTCGTTTTTTCCAAGATTATCGTATTTTCCGAATTTTCCAATCTATTTTTTCCATATTTCTATTTTTTAAAATTTTCGAATTCGATGTCTTACACACATTTTTCTAAAATTTCTAAATCTTTATTTTTCAAATTTTTTCTTTTCCAAATTTCAGAATTCATTTTTTTTAAATCGGTAAACATTAGGTTGAAAGATTCTGTTACAAATATTTATACATACAGGTCAAGCTAATAAGAGCGTCATTTTTTAACTATCGATACATCACATTTTCCGATGGTTTTTTGAACACAGGTCTTTATATTGCTTTATGGGTCATTTTTGATCAAGATATGTTATTTCATTTTGAGTTGTGGCCAAGGAAGCTAGAGCATTCCAAGTAGACTTTTTGAGTCGACTCCTCATGTATAAATGAAATCTCGACATTTTGTTAGCTGGTCAAGAGTACAGGTATTCTTTTTTATGCACAACAGATAAGGATACTAAACGGTTTTTTTACTGTAAAACCAAAACAATAAACGTTAAAATTTTCAAAATGCTGTCTTTTTATTTCAATTAACCCAATGTATCTCGAAAAGACCTGTTCTGGTCAATTTCTATGAGTAAATGCTGAATTTATGCGCCATAATTAAAAAAAAAATCAGGTTAGTTTTATTACATCGCATCCCAATAATATGATACACCAGCTTTATAAAAACATTTATTCCACAACATTAAAAAACATCTATCGGTACAACATCAACCCTAAACACTCAAACAGTAAATATTATTATCCCTGCATCCAATATAAATCTTGTCTCTGTAAACGGTGAAGAGAAAACTTCGTTGGGCAACTGAACGCTTCGTATCACAGAAAAACTTTCGGTATCGATGATGCTGATTTTTCCGGAATTGCAAGCTGCGACTATGAACACTTTCTCGTCGCTCGCTTTGCGGACGCAACAAGTTGAGGTAATTCGGGAGTCTAGCTCAGTCTTTGCTATCAATTCTTATCCGTGGCGTAATATCTTCAGAAAATATACGTGTTTGTCTATGCTGCCGAAAGTGACACAGTCACCT